ATCTATCTATCTATCTATCTATCTATCTATCTATCATCTATCTATATCTATCATCTATCTATCTATCTATCTATCTATCTATCTATCTATCTATCATCATCATCTATCTATCACCTATCATCTATCTATCTATCTATCTATCTATCTATCTATCTATCATCTATCTATCTGTCTATCTGTCTATCTGTCTATCTGTCTATCATCTATCTATCATCTATCTACCATCTATCTATCTATCATCATCTATCTATCATCTATCATCATCTATCTATTTGAGAGTGAGCCAGAGGGGTTAACAGAGACTGTTACACACAATAGCTGCCCAATAGATACTTGCTAATTTATTAATTGATTTACCTAGCCTGTTCATTTTGGAAAGTGATCTGGAAACAGCCCAGAATTTCTCTCGTGGTCATTTTCTTTTTAGATTAGCAAGGCTTTAATGGTAAAAGAAAAAGACTATCAGGCCACTCCACCTTCTTCCCACTGATGCCAGCTTTCTTCCTTTCCCCCAGTAGACTGGGGTAAAAATATTGAGCTAACCCAAATAATACACATAAGCATTAGAATATACAATCCTTGGCAACAAACTAATAGGATGGCAGAGGGCAGGTTGCAATTGCTAATGAAAGTGAGATGGAAGGCAGAACAACTGAAGCCACAGGCAGAGCCACCGTGCAAATGACACTAATGAATGTGTCCCAAGAATGAGCATAAGGCCCTTTCATCCTCACTCAGAGAGGAGATGGGGATGGCTGGGCAAGACTGGCTGGGCTACTTCTTGGACCACTCTATCAACACCTGAGGGAAAGATTTTCTGAATCAGGGTCGGAGACCCAGGGGATGGTCAGTAAAAACAGGGACCTTATCATATAACATAGTCCAGGTCATATCTCCCTTAAGGTGACAACACTTGGCAGCAAAACCTTTCCCTCAGCATCAACAAGCTTCTGTCTATATTAGTGATAACAGATACATTGAGTTTACTTAAACCAAATCTACCCCAAAGTCCATTAAGAAGCAAGGAGCCATCCAGGAACAGAAGTCAGTCTGTCATTGCACCTCACACTATTAACAGCAGATACCTCAGAAGGAGGGCACTTGGCAGGTGGGGACTTTTATTTTTACTCTACGCCTCTTTGTGTGGCTTCAGTTTTTTTTCAAGGCACATGCATCATTTTTAAAGACAAAAACAAAAAACCTGCCCTGTCGCCTGGCTGGCATGGCTCAATGGTTGGGCGTAGACACATGAACCAGGAGGTCACAGTTTGATTCCCAGTCAGGGCACATGCCTGGGTTTTGGCTCGATCCCCAGCAGGGGGAGTACAGGAGGTAGCTAATTAATGACTCTCATCATAGATGTTTCTATCTCTCTCTCACTCTCCCTTCCTCTCTCTGAAACAATAAAAACATTAAAAAAAAAAAATCACCTGCCCTGTGAACTGGTAGTTTTAATGAAAAGAACTAAATGTGAGGGTGTATGGGAGGCTTATTTTTTTTAAAGAAATATCCCATTTAATGCTATTTTCAGTGAAGCCTGCTTTATTTTTTAATTTTTAATTTTTAAAAAATATATCTTTATTGATTTCAGAGAGAGGAAAGGAGAGGGAGAGAGAGAGATAGAAACATTAATTATGAGAGAGTTATTGATCAAGCCCTCAATTGGGCCTGTGCCCTGACCGGGAACTGAACGCCGATTGCCTGGATCCTAGGTCGATGCTCAACCGCTGAGCCATACCCAGCCAGGCGAAGCCTGCTTTAAATGGCTTGGTTAAAAGAAAAGTTTCCTCTGTTATTTGCTGATGTTTGTGCATGGGGTAATAATGATGGGTCATAATAGATATTCGTGATACTTTTAAGTGCCTCTTGCCCTTTAAAACGTGCATACATTTTCTCTGCAGAGCCAGGAAAGTGCAAAGCTGAAGAGACAACCTCTAAATACAAAGGGACATATAAGTGGTTCTTAACCAACCCTACTGATACAGCCCAAACTAGATGCATAAAAAATGAGGCTGCAAATGCTACTAGAATCTGGTATGTATTGGCCAAGTTCTAAATGCTGGTTCAGATACACAAAGATCTGCTAATTAAGGGCATGTTTCTGTGTCATTTGTCTGAGTATGCTCCTTCTCTCCCCCTCTACTACTAGTCTTTCTTTCCTTTCAGCCTACTTAAGAATACAATGCAACATAATAACATTCCAGAAAAAATTTCAGGATGACAAAAGAGAGAAAAAGTCACTCATAATCCCATCATCTGAACACAGCTGTTTTTAGGTTGTCATATTTTTTCATCTAGGCTTTCACTGCATTCCTTTAAGTTTTATGTAGTGATAATCAGTCTTCATATCAATAATGGAATTTGTGCTCTGGCTGGTGATGCTTAATGGTTAGAACATCTCCCCATTCACTGAAGGGTCTCAGGTTCGATTTCTAGTCAAGGGCATGCACCTGGGTTTCAGGTTTGATCCCTAGCCCTGGGCAGGGTGCATGCTGGAGGCAACCAATTGGTGTGTCTCTCTCCTCTCACATTGATGTTTCTCTCTCTCTCTCTCTCTCTCTCTCTCTCTCTCTCTCTCTCTCTCTCTCTCTCCCTCTCTCTCTGGCTGACGAGAACCTGGATGTAATAAAGCTGAAGGGAGGACCTTACATCCCTGCATGTTGAAAATACATCAGACAGAATAGATCTTCATGAGAAGAGACCAAACTTGTTTTTGCCCAACATGATACC